TCTGATGGTTATTACAGTGAATTATTTACTTATACCTATGTTGGTTATTACAGTGAATTATTTACTTATACCTATGTTGGTTATTACAGTGAATTATTTACTTATACCTTTGTTGGTTTAGGTATAAGTAAATAATTCACTGTAATAACAGAGGTATCAGTAAATAATTCACTGTAATAACCAACAGGTTATTACAGTGAATTATTTACTGATACCTCTGTTGGTTATTACAGTGCATTATTTGTTGGTACTTCTATTAGCTCAATTTTAGCTTACATTCTGTTAGTTACTGTGGTTTTTTCTTGCATTCAACAAGAGACAACGAAAGCGGAAATATCCTAGACAATCTGCTCTCGAGGATGGAACAGTACGCCAATAATCTGGAGACGCTGGTCGAAGAGAGAACCGCAGATTACCTAGAAGAGAAAAGAAAGGCCGAAGATTTACTCTATCAGCTTTTACCTCGGTAAGTTTACTAGAACGCACTGGAACGTCCTCAACCAAAGAAAAACACTAAAAATAGAACATGCGGTTACACTTATATAAAATTTTGTTGTTGATATTGAAACAGTAAATAGTTCAAAAAATATTAAACACCCTATTAATACTATAATTTAAACAGACAGTAACTAATAACAACTTACAATCAGAGTAAGTTATATATTTATAGCAAAGCCAAAAAAAATCAATTTCTCAAGACTCAAATGATATGAAATGGTAATATTTATTAAAGAGTAAGTAATTAAAAATTCATGCAAATAACTTAAGTGCTACAATATTAGAAGCAGAATGAAAACTTTGTTTTAATGTTATATAACACAAAATATTAGAAACAGAATGAAAACTTTGTTTTAATGCTATATAACACAAACTATTAGAAACAGAATGAAAACTTTGTTTTAATGCTATATAACAAAAAATATTAGAAACAGAATGAAAACTTTGTTTTAATGCTATATAACACAAAATATTAGAAACAGAATGAAAACTTTGTTTTAATGCTATATAACACAAACTATTAGAAACAGAATGAAAACTTTGTTTTACTGCTATATAACACAAAATAGTAAAAGCAGAATGAAAACTTTGTTTTAATGCTATATAACACAAAATAGTAAAAGCAGAATGAAAACTTTGTTTTACTGCTATATAACACAAAATATTAGAAACAGAATGAAAACTTTATAAACCAGTTCTGATAATAGCGAACCTACTGTCATATATAGTTTCATATCAGATATATCTTCTGTGTGTGTATATATATATATATTTACATCTGCAATGTTTCATTATTACATTTTTCTGTTCAAGAAAATAATCGTTGAAACTCAAATAACATATTTTTTTTTACGTTTTTACATTGTGGGACAGTGGTAAGTTTATGAACTTACAACGCTAAAATCTAGGGTTCCGTTCCCCGCGGTTAAAACAGCGGAAATATATGTGTAATCATAAATATACTTTTAATAAAATACATTCTACACATACCTTCCCTTCCTTTATTATTTCTCTAAAACGATATTATCAGATAAACGCCACCTATAAAACAGCTACTGATCTGCGTATTTAGCTAAAATAATTAAAACCACGCAACTTGGTAAACACTACATCGAATATGGGTGTTTCTTGGTTTTGTTGATATGATGCTTTGTACGTATTATATTTATACGGTAGATGAGGTCTACTGAATTTGTACACTCAATATAAGTGAAATAGGCCTAGAAATAATGCTTCTCTGTTTCTTTCTTTTTGTTTTCGTTTTTGCAACATCCGAACACAAAAATCTTCTTTTCGTATTGCAGTAAAGATAAAATAAAATAAAATAAAACTTCAATCAAGCTGCAACCTTTTACAGGGCTTTAACATAAAGTACAACGTGTAATCCAAGTTTATGTGGTCCGTTAGTTGTGCTTCTTTGTATAAGAAAAAGAAACTTAAACTGTTGTGCGCATGCCCTAGTCTCCGGTCACTCTGGTTACACTGCGTGTAAAGTATAAATAAAACAGCTCAGCAAGATGGACCGAAGTAGGTCTGATGTTGGAGTTCAATTTAGAAAAGAAATATATATATATATATATATCGAAGATAGAGTTCGAAATGTTAAGTACAGAAAGGCGACTTAATAGTCCCTCGAAATGTTAAGTACAGAAAGGCGACTTAATAGTCCCTCGAAATGTTAAGTACAGAAAGGCGACTTAATAGTCCCTCGAAATGTTAAGTACAGAAAGGCGACTTAATAGTCCCTCGAAATGTTAAGTTCAAAAATTGGATGTAATCTGGAAAATGGTCTTAATTCTTGTGAATTTTTACTTTATGCGTTGACTTTAATGTAACATGCATTGTTTATAAGCAAGTGTTGATCTTAGGCGGGGAAATGAGGTGTGCCCCCAATTTTCAATCTCTCACAGTAAAAATGCATCCAAATTAGGAAAGTTGTTCTCAGGAAAAAGCAGGAGAACGCATAAAATTTAATCCAAGAACCTAACCTAAGGCGAGCCCTGGATCCCGGCCGTAATGTGTGCGCCTATGGCGCACATTCCCTCGCTTCGCTCGGTCAAATAAGCCTTGGCCCCCCTTTTAATTTGCCTCCTACACCCCTGTACAGATCCCTTGTGTGGTGTCACAATCCATTACCAAACTGATTTCTACAAATTTAATTTGTCTTGTATAAAGTGTAAATATAGACAATGGTCTATCTGCATTGTGTGCACCACGTGGGATGAAACCCCAGATTTTAGTGTTTTAAACCTTTAAGCTTATCGCTGAGCCACCAGGGTACACATACTTCATCCACCAGTCACCAGGGTACACCAATTTCATCCACCAGTCACCACGGTACACAAGTTTCGTCCACCAGTCACCAGGGTACACAAGCTTCATCCATCAGCCACCAGGGTACGCATCTTTCCTCCACCAGCCACTAGGGTACACATGCTTCATCCACCAGTCACCAGGATACACCAATTTCATCCACCAGTCACCACGGTACACAAGTTTCATCCACCAGTCACTAGGGTACACAAGCTACATCCATCAGCCACCAGGGTACGCATGTTTCCTCCACCAGCCACTAGGGTACACATGTGTCATCCACCAACATAAACAATTACAACTTTTGCTGATGGTTACTGTTGTAGATTTTCATTTCTAGAAATTAAAATCATCATATGCTCGATAAATAATTCAGTCACATTTCCTTGTCAACCGGGTTTTTTTTTCTTCAATATTTATTTTTTTACCATAGTGTCTTTTCCAATATATTTTCGTTAAAATCTAACACTGAACATTTATTTTCTAATCGAAAATGTCATGTCTAATTGCTAAACTTGTTATTCCCATATGTTTCTAAAGTTATATAATCGTACGTCTTTTATTTTTTGAACAATGTCTTGTTGTTCACAAAATCCTTAATATGAAAGACGATTTCTAAACTTTTTTTTTCATACTAGGCCCTGCCTTCTTTCTATAACTAAATTCCGATTTCACTTACAAAGAAAGAGAGAAGTGTGTATCTGTTTGCGTAGTACATAAAGGATTCAATGTTTTTGCGTATCCTGGAGGATCATGATTTATCTCTTTGGGTATATATATATAAAACGAACCAACAAACAACCAAAGCTATGCTTGCAGCATAAAACGAGCAATGGTTACACAGTGTATACTTATTTGATGGAAGGGGGTCTATCCCCCTCACAAACACTTGAGGAGAATATTAACAGTCCTCACACTTGCCCCACACGACAGGTAAAATAAGTAGGCGGTGAGAGCCTCCAGCAAGGAGTGCTGAAATCCAGAGACTCTGCCTGCAGCATAAAACGAGCAATGGTTACACAGTGTATACTTATTTGATGGAAGGGGGTTTATCCCCCTCACAAACACTTGAGGAGAATATTAACAGTCCTCACACTTGCCCCACACGACAGGTAAAATAAGTAGGCAAGGAGTGCTGAAATCCAGAGACTTAAATCGTACATGCGAATGAATATCTGGACCATATTTCTACAAACGGAATTTCGAGCACATGTTTTTTTGCTAATATAACGAATACAATGAAACGTGTTTTAAGAGCTTAGCTATCCTCTAATGTTAGTTACCAGTTACAGATCAAGAATAAAGTTCGTAAGCTAAGTAACCAACCTTAAAAATTGCAATAATATCCACAGGCCTGTCGCCAGTCAGCTGATACGAGGAGAATCCGTAACAGCAGAAGCTTTTGACAACGTCACCATTTATTTCAGCGACATTGTTGGTTTTACATCTCTCTCAGCTGAGAGCACGCCAATGCAGGTAAGAGAAAAAATATCACCAACTCTTAGTAATAATAGAAATATCCTACTATACTGTTAGATACTTCTGATATCATTAATAAAAATATATTAAGTAGCCCCTCTGTAGTTAAATTCTATAAATACTTCCAAATGAAAGCGATAATCTTGACTCAAAAAATCTTACATTTAACACTCTGTTTGATGAACATACTTGTTTGCATTAACATATCACACATTTGTTTGATAAATTATTTAATTAACTTCTTTTTATATTACTATATTATTTTCCACGTTATATTTGTTTGTTTGTTTTGAATTTCGCGCAAAGCTACACGAGGGCTATCTGCGCTAGCCGTCCCTAATTTAGCAGTGTAAGACTAGAGGGAAGGCAGCTAGTCATCACCACCCACCGCCAACTCTTGGGCTACTCTTTTACCAACGAATAGTGGGATTGACC